GTTGTACTTACGCTGTATACAGAAATGGCCTACTGCAACATAAGTTGATATGAGAGTGGTAAATTGGCCAGCACTACACAAACGGAACTGCAACGGAATTCTTAATGTCTCGGGGCTCTGGAGTAGTTTTCTGTGACTCAAAGTGCTATTCGGACATTAAGTTCTTTCAAAACCGGTGACGATGAGGAAATTATGAGTTGCATTAAGTTGCATTAAGTTGCATTAACTTATGCAACAGAGCGCAATTTCATCATTCAATTTTGTGGATACCATCTCATGTTGGTATACGCAAGCACGACCACGTAGACAAATTGGTGAAGGGAGCATACAGCAAAGATACTGTGAACAAATATCCTGGGTTGGCTCTTGCAAGGGTTGCACATATGTTGAAAAGTTCTCACAAAGAACTAAATATGACGAACACTCAAGCCTGAAAGCTGTGCCATAAGGTACTACGATCAGTATAGAGACAGCAAGCCCTCTTATGGGTGGCACTGAAGTCAAAGCAGTGCGACGTGGTTATTGCCAGAATATGCTTGCACGGTGCAAGAAGTGTAGATTAATCTAGATGTAGACTGCACAACGAAGAAAACAAGCGAACACTTGGGCACTATATCTCGGAATGTCATGAAATACAGCCTTTCAGACCACCTAACTTGTGGTATAAAGAATAGTGTTATGTAAACACAGGGGTAAAATCACATTCACGTAATATTCTTTTGTATGATGTATGATTTATATTTTTAGTTTACCACGTACAATTATAGCAATCACAGAATACTGTCGAATATATGTAAAACCGTAATCACGACTGCCTACGCGTGAGCAGATAGCCAGGGTGATAAATAAACTTACTGAACTTCGCCGATTTCCGAGCCAAGTCAATAAACATTGTTATAAGGAAACTAAAGTATGGAGGAACAAGAACATAGATATTATCTCGCCATGAATGAAATCAATACAACTTTGTAGAGATTCATTAAAATTCTCACGTGAAACAATCCTTCTCCTTTGCTTCATCCTGAGAGTGCATTTGGGAAAGATATACTAATTTAATAAACAATCTGCAGCTGCACTCTTGTCTTACATTTGCTTTTGTGTGCACTTGCTACATAGATATTGATGGTTGCCTTTTTGTGAATGTGTAACTTTATGGTATTGCCCTGGATCATATGGCTGTGTGTTTATGCTTAGACTACACCTGTAGTCATATTAATACTCTTTACACACACACACACACACACACACACACACACACACACACACACACACACACATATATATATATATGCACATCTATCTATCTATTTATCTATCTATCTATCTATCTATCTATCTACCTATCTATCTATCTATCTATCTATCTATCTATCTATCTATCTATCTATCTATATATATATATATATATATATATATATATATATATATATACACATAAACACACACACACATATTCATAAACAATACCTATCGAAAATGGTCGCTACGTAGTATACACCTAATTGAGGACGCTTAATCAGTCGTACACTTTAGATGACCTTCTAGGGTACTTGAAGTTTTATCACCTTATCAGAAAAGATATGACACTTAAGATTCGGTTTGAGATTTATGAACTGATTCACTGCTGCCGTCTTTAGATCTACGTCTGCACCACAATCCTCATGATTACTTCGACTCTTGTGGTATATCGACTGCTTATCATTGTTTTCGTAATTATGTATGGATAAACACACTCATGGGAGATAAAGAGATAGAAAACATATCGTATACATAAAATGTCAATATAAAATATGTATATATATATATATATATATATATATATATATATATATATATATATATATATATATCTATATATATATATATATAATATATATATATATATATAATATATATATATATATGCACATCTATCTATCTATCTAATCTATCTATCTATCTATTTATCTATCTATCTATCTAATCTATCTATCTATCTATCTATTTATCTATCTATCTATTTATCTATCTATCTATCTACTATCTATCTATCTATCTAATCTACCTATCTATCTAATCTACCTATCTATCTAATTTATCTATCTATCTATTTATCTATCTATCTATCTAATTTATCTATCTATCTATCTATCTATCTATCTATCTATTTATCTATCTATCTATTTATCTATCTATCTATCTAATCTATCTATCTATCTAATCTATCTATCTATCTATCTAATCTATCTATCTATCTAATCTATCTATCTATCTATCTATCTAATCTATCTATCTATCTAATCTATCTATCTATCTATTATCTATCTATCTATATATATATATATATCTATATATATATATATATATATATATATATATATATATATATATATATATATACGTAAATACACACACATTTGCTCACACCTGATTGACAGTTTCTTTTCAATACTTGTTATAATCAATGGAATTTCTCTACAATACACAAAAGTACAAATAAAACACATTTCATTGAGAACTT